GTACTGCAGGCAACTTCTACTGACTGCCGGCTGCCAGCAGCTTGGTAGTTTAAGAGTCTAATAGTAGTAGTAGTAGTAGTAGTAGTAATAGTAATAATGATGATGATGATGATGATGATGATGATGATGTTGGAAAGGACCTTGGAGGTCATCAAGTCCAACCCCTTGGGGGTCATCAAGTCCAACCCCCTGCTCAGGCAGGTAACCTTATACCATTTTGGACAAATGGCTGCCTAGTCTCTTCTTAAAAACTTCCAGCGTTGGAGCATTCACCACTTCTGGAGGCAGGTTGTTCCACTGGTTAATTGTTCTGTCAGGAAGTTTCTCCTTAGTTCTAGGTTGCTTCTCTCCTTGATTAGTTTCCATCCATTGCTTCTTATCCTGCCTTCAGGTGCTTTGGAAAATAGCTTGACTCCCTCTTCTTTGTGGCAGCCCCTGAGATATTGGAACACTGCTATCATGTCTCCCCTTGTCCTTCTCTTCATTAAACTAGACATACCCAGTTCTAGCAATCGTTCCTTATATGTTTTAGTCTCATGGGCTCCAGGTTAACTCAGCCTTCCATCCTTCCGAGGTTGGTAAAATGAGGACCCAGATTGTTGGGGAGTCAATATGCTGAGTCTGTAAACTGCTTAGAGCAGTGGTTCTCAACCTTTTTAATGCCACGACCGCCAACTGGTCGTAAGTCGAGGACTACTCAACTGGTGCAGCACCATTTGCAGAATGAGACTTTTGGCGGGCTTAGCAGGGCAGAGACAGCCTGGACAATTCCTATTGGCTTTTGAAAGCCAATAGAATTGGACTCTATTCAAGAGAGTCTATTCTATTGGCTTTCAAAAGCCAATAGAATAAAAGGGAGTAGCACAGCTAAGGAAAAGGGGGGGGGGGGAAATGGCAGACTGCATTGTTTGGCGACCCCCGTGAAATGGTCGTTTGACCCCAAATGGGGTCCTGACCCACAGGTTGAGAACCACTGGCTTAAAGAGGCTTGTAAAGCACTGTGAAGTGGTATATACACTTCACAGGTATATAATCTAAGTGCTATTGCTATTCTCTGTGCTTTCCTTACCTTGTTCCTAATGTTATGTCAAACCATATTCTAATTTTTTTAGATATGTCTACAGGATGTTTTGGGAAGTTCATACTTGTTTAATTACTAATTAACTGTGATATGTAAATGGTATCTAAAATTTCAAACTTTAAAGTTAACATTAAGGACAATTCATACAATAATTGCAATATAAAGCAAGTATGCATTTAGCTCCCCAAATTTAAGCAAGTTTATTTTGTAAACTCAAAGCTGACCAATTTTTCTTTTATTATAGTTTGATTTTTCTGATAGTGATTCAACTTCATTAGAAGGATTAGAAATAGCTCTATTAGCCTAATTAAGAAACCAGCCTCAGTATTCAGTGGGAAATAAATAAAATAGTTAAATCAATGGATTAATGAATTAATTAATGGATTAAATCAATTAAATGGCACATAATATGTACTGTTCCCTGTGAGTGCCAACCTTATCAATATAGGCAAAATGAGGTGGCTGCACAAAAGAGTTTATTTTTTTAATGCTTGTGTTCTTTTTATTTTGGGAAGATGTAAGAATGTATAAGTATATAAAGGTCTTTTCAAAGTCTTTTTTTGTTGCTGAAGAAAAAAGTTGTGATTTATTTCTTAATACTAAAGTTGTACAGAAAAGCTATTATGGATTCATATGTTACCCAGCTTTTATCTCTCCACTCTACTTTGTTGAAAATTACTTACAAAGTTGAAGATTGAGAAATGATTTATGGTCACATATTATTTCAATTCCTGTATATAGATTCGAGGTATAATGTAACTCTCAAAGGCAAGGGCAAGATTGCATTTCCTATTCCAAGGGTGAATGAAATTTTCAAAAAAGAAGGACATCAATTTGCTTAAGGGCTTGCTTTTCTTGATTTTTGATCTAGAAGTTAGAGCCATTCTTTCATTAAGCCTTTAAGAATTGGAGTTGAGTAGCCACTGACAGCAGCATGGATACATTCATTATATGGAAAATACTTGAAATATTATGGCCCTGCAAGAAGGCATGTCTTTAGATGAGAAGAACAGAAAGAAATGGAACCAAAACATCAAACAGCAATGTCCTGTTGCTGGAGATTTTAGAATATTTAAGCCAGTTATCCTGCTCTGGTTTGACACACTCAGCAAGTTCACAAGACCCCTTCATTACTGATAGTAAGTCAAACCCTGCTGTTCAGGCACTTAGTCCTAGGCAGAGGCATTTAAACAAAGGTCCAGAGAACTAAAATTTGCAGATCTAAGGGGCTAGTCAAAAGGCATGCAAGTGCTAACAGGACACTGCAGCTATTGCTTGATAAATCAACTGTCCATTTAAAGGATATTCAGTGTGGCTTATTTACGAGCTCATTCCCTCTGGAATAAGAGCAAATTATTTAAAACTTAGCTTTCTTCTGCAAATAGCATGCTTTGCCATATTTTAGATCTTGGATTTCATTTTACTTCATTTTTTGTTCTTCCTTTGAATTTGTCACCTGATAGATAATTTACCTCAGTGGTCCCCAACCTTTCTGCAACCAGGGACCGGTTTTGTGGGAGACACTTTTTTCACAGACGGGGAGGGGGGGGAATGGTTTCACAAACAACCTAGATCCCATGCATGCCAGATAAAGCTTCACTCCCTCGCCCACTGCTTGTCAGCCTGGTTACCAACAGAGGTTGGTTTACCTGTCTTGATCTTGATCTGCCTATTGAAGAAGTAAAATTGATCATCTTTTGAAAAGCTCTTTTATTTCAAGTAGCAGTGATACAATCTGAGCTTGCTTATCTCTGGTCAATGGCAGATTTATAACTTTCTAAATTAGTTCTTGGCAGCCAGTCATCCCTGCACAGAAAGTTTCCAAAAATTCCCATTTTTCCCACCTGTCTAGTTTTTCCATTGCTACAAAATTTCAATGAAAGGGTTTCTTACACTCCATCTTGTAAGAAACATTTTTAGAATATTCTGTTCCATAACTTTTCCAGATTTAAATAGTTGGGTTGGAGAATACTAGTCAATTCTAATTAAGTCTTTTACATAAAGTAATCCAGAGATGAAAATATTAATTGCATCTAATGTTTTAAAAAATGATATTTGCACAGCTGCAAAATGTTTACAGGGATGATAAAGAACATGTAAACTATCAAACTGAAGGTCAGCATTCAGCCAATCAAATTCAGAATTTAACTCAGAGACTATTATCTTGGAAAATAGAGATTTTGTTTAAACTATCATTTAGCTAATAGTAAGTGACGCACAAACTGAAATAGAAAATATTTTTTCTATTTGCAGCCTGTCAATTAAGGAGTTAATAATGATAGGTTTGAAGAAAACTACCTCTGAGACTAAGTGCTGCAATGCATTTTTATCTTGTTCTACAGGCTGACAGATCTGAAATTCCAAATTACACTTCAGGAAACTTATATCACATTCTCCTTGTTTTCCCAAACTCTTTTTAAAGAAACTTTCCCCTCAAATAGAAAATCATTTATATGTCTGAGTTTCAATGTCCTACTCCTGAGACTGGTGGAGGAGGAGCAGCCCAATCACGGACCTATTTAAAATGCCGCGGCTTAGATAAATCCACTCTGAAACAATAGTCCACATCTTGTTGCATTGTTCATTCTATCAGGGCTGGCAATCTACACTGCTTGCTAGGTCCAAAGGTGTACAGTCCAAGTCTAGAATTGTGCAGTGTTTACTACAAGATATTTCCACATAAACATAAAATGAAGAAGTTACAGCACAACTGGTGGCTGTGGAGGTTCTTGGCAAATTATGCATAGGAACAACAACAAAATCAATCTAGTGAGTTAGAGAATATCTTAACAAATATGAATATGTCTCATTAAAAATATCTAATTTTAGTTTAGATTACACACATACTAACATTTCCTAGTTGTTTTAGAGATACCTCAGCACAACAGAAGAACTTTATTCTATAGCTTTGTGCCAAATATTTTATTGCTTTGATTATTTATTTTACTAGTCTAACCATGACTACTGTGTTCTGTAAATGAATTTGTGCTCCCATTTAACAATCCATAATCTGATAAATTTATATATAAACCAAATAAACTTTAATCAAAGTCTGCAATAGTCTCTGCAAAGAAAGAGAGAAAGAGATGTTTGGAGAGCTCAGAGTACAACTAAAAACAGCTATTTGGGAGACAGATGTTGACTTCCAATTGACTTTCCAAAGACTTGTAACAAAGTGTCCCCCCTCCTAGAAAGATATCAGCTAGATCCCAAAGTTGATGGAGACAATTGGAAGTCAACATGGAAGTCATCTCTTTCCTGTGTTTGAAGTAAGCTCTTAATAAAAATCCCCAATCATGAGGTTAACTCCTTCTACTTGTTTGTGTATGCACATGTGTATCTTTAAAACCATCCATATATAATAGTCTCAGTGTGTGTGTGTGTGTGTGTATGAGAGAGAGGGGGGGTTCTTGTAGATAGATCATACTCTTTAGGTATCTTTATTATTTTACTTCATTATCCTGATTTTCTCCCCAAGAAATTGTTTTATTGTCAAAGGACAGGTTAAAGTATACTAAAAACAACAGGAAAAACTAATATTGACCCATACTGATCCAATGTTCTAAGTCTGCCTTTTTTAGGCTTGCTTTTCTTATTATAATTGAATCATTTTAGATACTTTTGATGTTAAAGCTCTCTACCAATCCAGTAACAAATTTCCTTCTTGCTTGCTATATCTGGTCAATGAAAAACACATCTTCATCAACTACTTTTCTGCTTTTAAGACTGATTAAGGCCCAAACCCTTTGTTCTTAGGAGTGCTACATTGAGGAATGTCCACGAAGAATCAGTTACAGTCAGCAATCCAATCATTAGTTGAGTCCTTTTGATCTTTGATTTGATTAATTTTTTTCCCCAAGACTGTAGGTTCATTTTTCACCTCCACAATTTTTTAAAAAGAAAGACAGTGAAGTCCTACCGTATCTTCAGTTTTGTGATTATTATCCAGCAAATCTGAAAGGAAATCTTCATTAAGACTCTCTCTCCTTATTAAGGTAAATTCCCGTAGGAAAACAGCCCCCTGACTCTGGTCACCACCAACCTGGAAGAGAATAATAAAAGTAATTCAGAAAACTATGCATGCTTGTTTCATTTATTCATTCACTTAGTTCTTTCCTATTACAATAAAAAAACTCTTGGTAGGTCACAATCGTACAAAATTATATTAAAAGTTTATGATTTTTAGTATCATAAAAAGTATAATATATTTAAGAATGTTATGAAAAAAGATATCACCCTGGATATATAAATGAAATCAGTTGATGTCATAATAATTAAAAAGGATATACAAATGGCAAACTAAAAGAGTGAGTTGAATAACTTTCTTATATTGGATTTAAAAAAAAGTTCTGTTAAAATTCTGAAGGAATTTATGAGAAGGGAAAAAGGAAAAAAACAAGTTCTAGACATTATTTGAAGGAAGCTTGTTAAAAAGCTTGTTAAAAGTAATAGAAAGGAATATAAAATGTGTTTATTAGATCAAGGTTAAAATAAATATATTGTTTTCTCTGGTAATCCTTAATGGACTTTTGCTGACCAGGACTAATAACAAGATTAAAAAAAATCTGTTTATAGATAAGAAATGAGATATGGTATAAAGAAATTTGTTTTTGTATTTTAAGAGGTGATAAGTTATTAAAATTGTTTATACTTATGATGTAGAAGGAAGTAACTTCCTTATATATACTTATCTATTTCTTTGCTATATTTTTAGCAAAGTTTTCTATTTATATTTATTTGGTTCTATTTTTTATTTTTATAGTTTGTAGTTTTATCTGTTTTATTTATTCAACTACAATGTTTAATATAATTATAAAAAGAAGAAACAGTTCTGACAGAAATTAGATGAATATGACGTCATAAGTAAATATAAATGTTCTGTGTATAAATGTTTTAGCAACAGCACTTAGACTCACATACTGCTTCCTAGTATTTTACAACCTCTCTAAGTGGTTTACAGAGTAAAATAACAACAATCTGATGCTCATTTTACTGACCTCAGAAGGATGGAAAAGTGAGTCAACCTTGAGCCAGTCAGCATCATACTGCTGGCAGTCGGCAGTCTGCAATACTGCATTCTAACCACTGTTCCACCATGTCTCTGTGCTATTTCTGATTAATCTGGTTAAGTATATCTCTACTTGTGTGGTATTTCTGATTAATCTTGTTAAATATTTCTCATCAGCTAAAATGTTCATACTCACTGAAATGTGTTGATTTCAAAAGCATCAAAAAGTATTAATACAGATAATCACAACTAGGACAGGAAATCTAATTGTAAGTTGTAATTGTAAATTGGGGTGTCAGACCCATTTTTTACTTTTTCGTGGTGGTAATTAAGTGAATCACATGGTTGTTAAGCAAATGGCACAGTTGTTAAGCTAACTGGCAAAAAACATAATGAATAAATTCTGCAGCCACAAGACTGCAGAACATTGCAACCAGTTCTATTGCCAACCACTCAAAATATAGGTGGGAGGGAGAAGGATATTTTGCGATAGCAGGAAGTACTTTATGAACTATAAAGCACCTGTTCTGAGGCTGCTATAACACTAAACAGGTGTAAAATGGCTGGTTGTAAGTCAAAGATTACCTGAATGCTATGCATTTTAAAATAAAATTAGATTAGTATTAAGGTGAAAGTTTGTTCTCCGAGCTTGTGGGTTGGTCTCCAAATGTTTTGTTACCAGGCTAGGTAACATCTTCAGTGGAGTTTAGGAAATGTCAGTGTCCTGTCTATAAGGGCTTCAGGTGTGGGTGTGTCAAGTGAGGGTCTTGTGTTGGGTCAGGTATGAAACACCAGTGAGAGAGGCTTGTGATGGGGAGGTTACATCAGGTCAGGGTCATTGGGAGGGGGGCTTGCGTGGGTTGATTGAGGACCAGTGCTGTTTCTAATTGGCTGTGCGATTGAATTGGATTCTGAGGGGTTCCTAGGCTGGTTGTAGGTCAATGTGTCTGTTGGTGGAATTGCTTGTGGAGTGCCAGGCTTCGATGAACTCACGAGTATGGCGGATGGTAGTGTGGCCGATGATTTCATTGTTGCTCCAATCGAACTGATGTTGTTTGGTGTCGCTGTGGGTAGAGATTAAGGATTTGGGATCATGACATTTGACTGCCAGTCGGTGTTTGTGGATCCTGTTTTTTAATTGACATGATGTTTGTCCCACATAGAATTGGTTGCAGTCGTTACAGTTGATTTTCTAATTACATTGTTTCTTTCATCCTTCTGTATCTTGTCTTTGGTTTGGATAATTCCTGGCAGAGTGTGGCTGTGAGTTTGTGGGCTGTTGCATTTCCTAGGGGTTGGAGAATTCTGGCTGTCATTTCCAACACCCCTTTTGTGTATGGTAGGGTTAGTTTTTGCGTGGTGGTTGTCTATGTGGTGTGATTTGGGTGCTGTATGTCGGAATACAATGTTTTTTGGATAGCTATTACAGAGAAAGATGTCAAGCAGCCATTTCTCTTCTGCTTTTCTTAGTGTTCTGGTGCTGCAATGTGTCTTGGACCTTCTGAAGAGGGACTGGATGTTACCTAGCTTGGTAATGAAACGTTCAGAAACCAGCTCATAAGCTTGGAGAATGAACCTTTACCCTCATTCTACGCCAGAGCTACAGATATTTGCCACTATTAGATTGGTATTCTTCAAAATTTGGATGTATAAATCACACACACAAAAGCTTGTTCTTGCACCTATCATTCAAACTTGATTCTTCTTCCAATACTGATAGCTAAACTAGCAAAAATATGCAGGGCAGAAGAGAGTGTTTAGCTGAACCTAGATGCTGGCTTTTATCTGGGTTTACTACCCAGCAGTTAGGGTTTAGTTGTAGTTCTAAGCTTTTCTATTCTGGTAAGACCTATTTAATTAAGCAATCAATACATATCCTTTACAGTTTGCAGCAAAACCAGCTTGGAGGGAAGCAATAATAAGCCAGGATTCTGGAGAACGTATGGCTGTATTTCACAAATTCCTGTCATAGCATAAAAAATATTTTATTTTTAAAATAGGAAACTTAAAACTTTGAAGAACTCTGGCTTAATTTTTTTTTTCAGAAATGCAATGAATCAAAAGAAGCATAAGTAGGAGTAAAAATAGTTCTGGTGCTGTCTACCAACCTTGTGCATAGTGTTTTAGACTTGCACACATACAGAAACACACTGATACAGTGAAATATAACAGGAAGAAAAATAGTACAATATAAACATACAATTTATATATTTGGAACTTAAATTCTGATTGCTAAGCAATGAGGAATGGATCCAATTTTATGACATTTTACCACAGTCATTAAGTGAATCATTTGGTTGTTAATTGAATTAACTTCCCCAATTGACTTTACTTGTTGAAATCTATCTGGGAAAGTCACAAATTGTGATCACATGACTGCAAGATGCTGCAACCATCGTAAATATGACCTGTTTGCCAAGTGCTCAAATTGTGATCCTGTGACTGTGGGAATGTTGCGATGGTCATAACTTCAATGACAAATCATAATCTATTTATTCCAAGGCCATCGTAATTTTGAACCATCATTACATGAAGGGTTGTAAATCGAGTCCTTCCTATATAGGTTAAAAAGTATCTTTATCCATCATTCATTGTGAAAATGTCTTCAGCCAATTCAATAACCATACTTTTGTATCAAAAGAATGCATGCTTTAGTCAACCAAATCTTTTAAAAATATTCTATTTATATGAACTTATATAAATAATGTTAAAATATGATGCTGGAAAAATTCAGTTTGCATCTTGAATATTCAACGCAGAAAATAGCCCGAATAAAGTTACTTTATCTAGTATATAGTTGTTTTATTGTAGTGGGAAAAAATAAACCTAGCAAAAATATGTAGATTGCACGCCTTTCCTTTCTGTCTTTTAGATATGACTATGGTCATATCCAGTTCATCTCTTTTCCCTATTCCTTCAGACCCAACATGAACCTCCCTAACCCAGAACAAAGCCCCCTCCCCCACAACCCCAAGAAACAGGATCCTCTTCACTAGCTCATAGGACAGCTCATGGTTAGTAAGAAGGGATCTGAACACAGATAAATCCCAATCTACCATCCTGTATCAGCAGATGACCTCAACAATCCATCTGCTTTAACAATGGACTTCCTCATCAACTTTTTCCCTCCTGAAAGGCCCATTTTGCCTAACAATAGAACTTACCCCAGGTACAGTGACAGGATCTGCCTAGCTTCCCCAAAGTGATTAGCCAACCAGATTCTTAGAATTTCCCATTTTGTGGCCACCACTTCTATAAAAATCTTTGCTTTCCCATTGTTCGGGGTCTCCCTTTCTTGAACACAGGCAGCCAATGACCATTGCAGTAAAGTTTCTGTTGCTTCTTCTCCTCAGTATTGTGCTCGGTATTGTGAATCCATGACATTATATACTATAAGACTATTATGGAAATGTTTAATCTGTCTAAATATACTTTCTGACTCTCTGTCTCTGTCTCTCTCACTCGCTGTGATATCTTCTTCAATTATAAAACAAGAACCACTTTCACTGACAGTTATTTAGTATTTTAATATAAAGACCTCTTCACATGAAAAATGAGCAGATGTATTGGATAGATGCTACATTTTTAGCAAGAAGTTTGGAGAGAAATCAACTAAGGACAAAAGGAGAAGGGTGGGGAAAGAAATAATAACAAAAGGGTGGATGGAAAATCCAAGTTCTCCCAGCATAGTACAAGCTTTTTTTTTTTTTTTAACTTTGTAATAAGTTGGAAAGAGTTTATCCCCATGAAAGGGTTGAAATAGTGTAGGGTGGGGAGCTTTTCAGTGCATTAAATAGTTTTGTGTAAAATTAAATGTTAAAATCATAGTATTGATATAAGATAAACATGATTTAAGAGTGTGCTTTATTTAAAATTCCAGATTCAAAGATTTAGCACTATATGCTTAATAATTAAGTATACACCCAGTTGAATTGCTTATGATTCAAAATGCTATAGCAACAATTAATACAGTATTAACCAGGTGAGAAATAGAAACTATCTCAAAATAAATGGAGAAGTACACCAAAAAACTC